ACGGAGCAAAAGTATAACTATCCCAATCTCTCAATCTATCGTAAGTCTGTCTGGCTGACCCCAATCTGTGCGAGCCCGTCAAATAACGTCGCTGCAGATCAGATATCATCGATGGAAGATCCCACTCGCCTAAGCGCAGCAGGTCTGCAGTACGATAGCCAAGACCACCTAGCATATGTATAGTATCGCCGTACCAGCCTCTAACTCTCGGCGTAGGGTGCCGAGTACCAGGTAATGCTGCGCTATCATGCATGAACTCCCACTCCTTCCACAATTGCACGCTATCCTGAAATGCTAACAGCAAACCAAATGAAGCCTGTTCAACCTTATTTTCAGCCGCTCGATAGCTGACGCGTGTCCCCCCCGGCCCGATGGTCGTGCGGTCCTCAGAGATCGACCCGGTTGCGCCGTCGAAATGCAAATGCGGTTGCATCAGTGCCGCCGGCTGCCGGTTTTGGGTGACCCTTTCAGACTGTCAAAAACTACGCTCGAGCGTCAAAAACTACGCTCGAGCGTCAAAATCTATCTCAGACTGTCACAAACTACGCTCGAGCACCAATGATTGGAAGAAAGTTAGGCGGCACATGCAGGAAAACTCACAGGTCCGCATGCCCCGGGTGATTCCCGACCGTTCGATCGCGCGTCGACGGTCTTTTTAAAGCGGCTGCGGTTGCGGTTCCCTTCCCGGAACCGACCGCCGAAGCTGACTTGGCACGCCCGGCGGTCGGCCAACATGCTCTAGAAGGCTCCGATTGGTGGAGAAGGTGCTCTAACTGAGCACTCTCTTGCCTCTCTCTTTGTCAACCTATTGCCCACCAGCCGTTCAGGGGCGCAACAAAAGCATCATCGCAAGTGCAGCGCTGCCTCCTCAAAGCTTTGCTTCTCAGCGACCCCCCATCGCTGATTGCTAGGATGACAGCACAACCGCTCCACGGCTTGCAATCTACGGAAGAGTTTGCAGAGTTCCAAAGGAATCTGCGCCTGCCGGTGGCTCTGATCGGAGAGCCTCAGCATGATGCCGCTGAAAGAACGAGCGCTTGCCTCGAGACGAACCAGCTGGTGAGCTAGCAAGATTACACAAGGCCAGAAGTTGCCTTGAAACCAGTAAAAACGCTTGTGTGAAGGACATATAGAGGTGCTTAAGAACGAGGTTTGCAAAAAATGTACGTAGAAAGCCTTGAACATCCTGAAACTGCCACGTGTCTCTTTGTTCCATGAGAAAGTTTGTGCAAAAGCCTGAACAGCCTGAACATGACGCCAGCCCCCTTGACACCTTCGTCATAGGTTGCGCCAACCTCGAGCGGCCTTCGTTTTGGTGAGGACCGAGTCTCGTGCTTCTGGGCGCAGCCCCTGCTTTTCCCTCCTTCAACCCCTCCGCATATCAACATGCTTCACCTCTCTCAAGAGGAAGGTGACACACAATGAGCTTGCTAACGTTGCGCCCGATGTTTCCTGCTCAAATCGCAGGCAATTCAAGAGGTGGAAAATCCGTCAGATAGACTAGCGGGCTGCTCGTCAGATGACGGCACCCCCATCGCTGAGCTGAGACGACCTGCAAAGAAAAAGAAGGCGCGGAAGGCTCATCGCGTGGCCACAGGTCTGGCAGGAGCCACCGCTTGCTCGCAGCTGTCAGTGGAGGCTCCTAGTGGAAAGCTGCAGCCGCCCGAGCAAGCTTCCATGGATGAGGAGGCTTCGCAGGCGCTCCACTCGAACGGCCCGGAGGAGAGTTTGAGCACAGAAGCGAACATGTTTATGGTGAGTTTCTACCACAGACACTCTCAAAGCAATGAGGCAAATATTCGGTGTTCTATTGCGGTAGCTGGACTCGCTTCTTTTACTGAGCACAACGAGTGCATCTCAAAAAATCTGTGCTTTTTGTCAAGCACCGACGATCTCTCAAGCTTTCCATGAGGAACATTTGCAAGGGTCACACATGCGGCTGACTTCATCACCTTTTTGCAACTTTGTGCACAGGAGGACGCACCCGAGTTGGAGGAAGAAGAGCCGGATGGTGAGGATATCGAAGGGGTCGAATACGACCGGCAGGAGGAGACGGAGGATCAGGAGACCTCACAGGATCGGGACATGATGGACGACTCGACCCAAGATCCCATCGACCCTCTCATAGCCTATGCGCAGATGAATGCAGAGATGGAGGAAGACGGGTCGGAGGACGAACTCGCGAACCGCGTCATAAAGCGCCGATTGCTTGAGGGTGGGGCGGGTCAAGCTGCACCACCAAGGCGCAAGTCATATCAGCTGGAGGCCTCCAAGGAATCGGAGCCCGAAACCCCCCCGGAGACAGAGGGGGCTAAGGAGTCGGAGGCGGTTGGCAGAGAGCCCACAATGGACTTGTCTCAACCGGAGCTCGGCGACCCTCCTTTCACGGAGGATCAAGAGGATGACGATGCGATGCTGGAGTACTTCGGGGACGTCTGCCGGATCCATATCGATAGGGTGAGGCGAATCTGTTCTCCTTGAAGAGTCCTCATCGAGGCCTCGGAGTTCCTCTCAATAAGAAACGTGCCTTTGCACAGACCGCTTGCTGTTGGTGCGAATGGCGAGTGAGCCTTGCCATGCCTGGTTCGACTCCAGGAGCGGCCACGTGGAATCAGGAGCTGCCATTTCTTAGCTGGTTTAGCCCTTCTTAATCACTTCCACTGTCATGTTGTTTTTCCATTGTCTGATTGCTAAGTTGATCTTGGATCACTGTCATGTTTCTCCTGAGCCCCGCGGTGGCCCTGTATACAACTTCAGAGCTTGCTCAGCTGGAACTCAATGTGTATTTCTTGATACTTACGAAGCTTTCCAGTATCATTCTTTTGATACCCGGTCGCTCAATTCTTGACCACTTCGTTCTCTTTATATAGCCGCGAACTCCGCTGAGGGAAGTCACACCGCCCGTGGCTATGGGCACAGAGCAAGAGGTCGAAGTGCCTACAGCACCCTTGCCGGATCATCCGCTGAGGGAAGTCACACCGCCCGTGGCTATGGGCACAGAGCAAGAGGTCGAAGTGCCTACAGCACCCTTGCCGGATCATGTGAGCAGGAAAAACTCCTCTGGACCCGCAATAGCGAAAAAGTCTTGGCAAAAGCTTGAACACGTTGAACAAGCTGCAGGTCGGTCCTATATTTTGGTGGTCCCTCGGTGAGATCACAGACTCGGGGCCAGATGAAAACTGTCATAAGGCAAAGCCTAGACACCCACGCATTACACAGAGGATCCAAACCTTTTTTTAGAATTGGATTGCAATCTACTAGGCCTAGGAGAAACCTTTGGGGTTCGCTCGCAATGCGTGTATCTGTGGGTGCCTAGGTCCGCCCCCAATCTGCCCATCCAATGAGATGTGCCGGCTTGAGTGATGCCATCGAAGCAGCAAATTGAACCCTGGTTTTTTCAAGCTGTATAGATGGATGTTGAGAAGCCCGACGAGCCGTCAGAGGTGCCCTCAGCCCCTGCCGCCGAAGTCCAGGACCCGTGCTTGGATGCAGCGCGCCACCTCCACAGCCTGGGGGTACCTACGATGTCCGTGGACCTCTCCGTCAACTCGATGGGGGTCAAGACGCCGCGTGGTCTGCCCTTGAGATGGGTCGCATGTCGCTTGGACAACTGCCTAAAAGAGTACGTCAAGCCGAGAAACAACTCGCTCGCCATGATCACTGGATCCGCCTCGGATGTGTACGCGGTCGATGTAGATCTCAAGAACAACGGAGCTGCAGCCTTTCAGGAGATGCTCGAGGAGAACGGCTGCCTGCCGAGCGATACCCCAACGGAGCGGACGGGGAGCGGTGGCATGCACTTGCTCTTCTCGCTCAAAGCGTCCTTGGACGCAGGGCTGATCAGCGGAGGAAGCAGGAATAAGCTCAAATGGAGGGGTCAAGGGGACAGAGGGACAGAGGGTCAGAGGGTCGGGATCGATACGCGCGGGGATGGCGGCATGCTCTATTGTGCCCCGAGCTCTTATGCTGCCGCAGACGGCATCCGGATGGCGTACACTTGGCTGGAGGAAATCAAGCCCGACCGGTCAAACCTGCGGTCCATGCCCCAGTGGCTGATCTCGTTCATCAACGGGGAAGGCGCGGCCGCCAGGTGAGAGAGATTCTCACGAGCTCGATTGCATCCATGTCTCGCGGACTCGTTCTCAACTATCCAGTTCTTCTCCACAGATATCCACGGCATGTTCAGGGGTGTTTAGGATTTTGCGCAAACTTTCTTACAGCTTCGAACCCTGTCCAGGAATCCATCCACTGTTGAGGGGTTGTTCAGGGTGTTCAGGCTTTTGCCCAAACTTTCTCACAAGGCAAAAAAGCGTCAAGGTGGACTTCTCCCAGGGAGGGTGGCCGGCCATGTTCAGGGTGTTCAGGCTTTTGCCCAAACTTTTCCACGAGGCAAAAAAGTTTCAAGGTGGAATTGCCAGGGGATTTGGGTGGCCGGCCATGTTCAGGGTGTTCAGGCTTTTGCCCAAACTTTCTCACGAGGCAAAAAAGTGTCAAGGTGGACTTTTTCCCAGGGAGGGTGGCCGGCCATGTTCAGGGTGTTCAGGCTTTTGCCCAAACTTTTCCACGAGGCAAAAAAGCGTCAAGGTGGACGTTCCAGGGGATGGGTGGCCGGCCATGTTCAGGGTGGCATTTTTATGGGTGTCCTTCTGGCAACGGGTCGACCTAGAGGGCTGAGCTCGTTGATTGCGTCCAAAATCGAAAGAACGTCTTTCTCGCAGAGAATCGGTTGGGCACGACCCCTTCTGGACTGCAACGCCCTCGACGAGCACCGGAGAGGCAGAGGTTGCTCCTGAACCGGCCGTGCTTGAGCGGATCAAAGCATGCCTCGCAAAGCATGGGGATACGACTTCCCGCTTCGACAAGATGAAACGCTCCGCTGCCGGTTCGATGTACGTCTTCCGAGTCGACGGGGAGCGCCGATGCCCCTATGGAGCCGACCACAGCGGGAGCAACAATTTCGCGGTGCTCGTGCGGGACCGCGCTCTTCTCTACCACTGCAGCAGCGGCGAGTGCTCGGAGGTCCGTCCCATGCGGCAGATCGGAAAGTTGACTCGCTTCGAGAGCATGCTAGGCGGTGAGACGGCTCCGGTGGCCCCCGATGATCTCAGCGTCTGCCGCACGCTGGACAAGCGGTTCGCGGACTACTGGGCCTTCCAGGGCGACATGGGGGGCAGCCACATAGTCGATCAGATGTACGCCTCGTGTGGCAGGTGAGTTCTCCTCTCCAGAGATCTCCATGGCGTGTTCAGGGTGTTCAGGCTTTTGCCCAAACTTTCTCAAGGGACAAGGTTTCCAAGACACGTTCAGGATGTTCAGGATGTTCAGGGTGTTCAGGCTTTTGCCCAAACTTTCTCAAGAGTCAAAAAAGTGACACGTGGCAGTTGAGGATGTTCAGGATGTTCAGGCCGTTCAGGCTTTTGCCCAAACTTTCTCGAGGGGCAAGGTTTCCATGACACATTCAGGATGTTCAGGATGTTCAGGGTGTTCAGGGTTTTGCGCAAACTCAACAAGATGAATTTTCTCGTCGGCCCGCCGAATATGTTCAGGGTGTTCAAGCTTTTGCCCAAACTTTCTCACGGGGCAAAAAAGTGGCACGTGGCATTTTCAGGGTGTTCACGGTGTTCTGGGTTTTGCGCAAACTTGTAACAAATTTATGATCTTTCTCGGCGGCCCGCCGGCCATGTTCAGGGTGTTCAAGCTTTTGCCCAAACTTTCTCATCGGGCGAAAAGTGACACGTGGCAGTTTCAGGATGTTCAAGATGTTCAGGCTGTTCAGGCTTTTACGCAAACTTTTCTCAAGGGGCCAAGTTCAGCTCTGCACGTGGCAGGTTCAGGATGTTCAGGATGTTCGGGCTGTTCAGGCTTTTCCGCAAAGTTTCTCGAGAGACAAAGTTTCCATGACACGTGGCAGTTTTAGGATGTTCAGGCTGTTCAGGCTTTTGCCCAAACTTTCTCGAGGGACAAGGTTTCCATGACACGTGGCAGTTTCAGGGTGTTCAAGATGTTCAGGATGTTCAGGGTGTTCAGGCTTCTACGCAAACTTCTCCAGACCTCGTGAACTGAACCATCTATGTGTGTCATTCATACAGGTTGTGGTTCTACGGCAAATGGCATTTCTGGAACGGCCAGCGCTTCGAGGTGGACGGCACCGGAAGCTACGTCCGCTTCGTCGTCATGCACCAGCTCAGTCGGGTGTACCAGCGCGTGCGGGAGGAGCTCCACGAGCAGCTGAGGGGTGTGGGTGACGACAAGGAGCGTGCGGCAGAGCTGCTGGCGATGCTCAAGAGCCTCAGAAACTACAACAACGTGGCGGCGGTCAACAGCACCATGGAAGTCATGCAGGGGGAGATGTACGCTCCGGACCTGTTCCAGCGGCTGAACACGGACGTGCACATCATCAACGTGCGCAACGGTATCTGGCAGCTGAAGACGGGGGCGCTCGACGTACACAGGCCGCAATACCTGTGCACCTTCATGACCGACGTCGACTACAGGGTGAGTGTCTCCGACAGCGGCGAATCATCCAGGGGTGGATCGAGGGGGGTGTTTAACTACTATTCTTTTCCTTATAAAGACATCAAATAAGAAAAAAGAAAGGCATTGAACATGGACCAAGTCGATCCTGTCCTAGAACGGTTGGGTCGCCGATAGGTAGCCTGCGCCATGCTCAGGTGGGCATCAAATTCATGGACGTTGATGGAGTGGATGACGCGAGTTCTCCGCCTTTTTCAGGGGCTGAACTTTCCATCCCCCGTACCGATGGAGTTCCTCCGGGACATCTTCAACAGCAACGAGGTGCTGATCCGCTGGGTGCTGCGCGTGTTCGCTTATGCCATCAATGGGCTCACGTGCGAAGAAATGATCGTCTTTCTCGTCGGTGGTGGAGGTGAGTTTGGCTCGTGAGAAAGTTTGTGTAAAAGTCTGAACAGCTTGAACATCTTGAACATTCTGAAAATGCCACTAGTCATTTTTCGCCCGTTGAGAAAGTTTGGGCAAAAGCCTGAACATGCTGAACAGCCTGAACAGCCTCAGGCTGCCACGTGTCTCTTTGCTGCCTCGTGAGAAAGTTTGGGCAAAAGTCTGAACAGCCTGAACAGCCTCAGACTGCCACGCGTCTCTTTGCTGCCTCGTGAGAAAGTTTGTGTAAAAGTCTGAACAGCCTGAACATCCTGAACAACCTAAAACTACCACGTGTCACTTTTCCTCTGGTGAGAAACTTTGGGCAAAAGCCTGAACAGCTTGAACATCTTGAACATTCTGAAAATGCCACGTGTCACTTTTTGCCCGATAAGAAAGTTTGGTTAAAAGCCTGAACATGCTGAACATGCCTCCCCCTGGAAACATGTCCGTACTCTGTTGCCTTCTTGCCCAATGAGAAAGTTTGGGCAAAAGCCTGAACAGCCTGAACATGTGCAAGCGGAACTGACATATACTTTCTGGCATTTTGCAGGGAATGGCAAAGGCGTCTGGAAGGAGATGCTCAAAGCTCTCCTGGGTGCGTACTTCTGCGCCATGTCAAGGGACGCGGTGGTCAAGACTCCGGGACAGCGTCCCCCGTCCAAGGGCGCTCCGACGGCTTACGTCTTTGCCCTGAAAGACAAGCGGATCGCGTTTTCGGACGAGACCGAGGAGGGCCAGCAGGTGGACATGGCGCTCTGTCTGTCGCTAAACGGAGGGGGCGAGACCGTCGCGCGCAACCTCTACTCCAAGGACGTGGAATTCACGCTGACCCACACGACCTTCATCCAGACCAACAACCTCCCCCTCATCCCCCCGGGCGGCAACCCCAACGGCAACAACGCGCGGCGTCGCATCAAGGTGCTCCGGTACCCGAACACCTACCTGCCGGCCGACAAGTTCGTCGCTACGAACGCCTCACACAGGCCCCTGGTGATCGGCCTCAAGGAACGGATGAAAGCACCGGGAGTCATCGAGCAGCTGATGTCTCTACTCGCACGCTCCTCCGTCGAGTACTATCGAGAGGGTCTGGGCGAGGATCCCCCGGAGGTCGTGGAGGCTACCGGAGCCTACTTCGATGACTGCGACAAGCTGCAGCAGTTTTTGGACAAGCACTGCGAGATCGGGGCTGGCTTCGAGACTCTGGAGGGCGACTTCTACCTGGATTATTGCGCCTTCTCCAATGAGCCAATCACAAAGGAGGCGCTCATGAACCGGATGAAGAGCAAAGGTCACCGGAGGAGTGCCAAGCCTCTGAACGTGTACAACAAACGCGAGCTCTACTATCCACGCATCAAGAGCATCTTCGTGCGCACTTGAAGGTGCACCTGGTAGATAAGCAGTCTTCAAAGATGTAAATAGGGTTCCATGATCGTGACAACACCGACGGCAAAGTGCTAGGCCGATGCTCTTGTCTTCATGTAAATCTGAAGAACGTTTTTGATCGATGTTTTTCCATGTACATGCATTACGAAATCAACATGGCTTTATCTAGCATTCCGATATTCACAGCATGCCATTTTACCGAATGCTCAACATTGACTCACATACCAAACCCTCTAGTGCTTTCAACTACGGCCAGCAAATGGATGCATGGCTACACAAACGAGACTCACTCGACCCCAAAGCTCTTCGTTGGCACTCTGTCACTGCGACGAAAGGGCGGTTTCGACGACCGAGCTGCGAGGTTTCGAGCTCCTTTTTGGCCCTCACTATGCACTTGCGCCGACACGAGCCGGTGCATCTCGCTGCATGGGCAGAATGGAGACGGACCTGAGGACCCACAGATACACGCATTGCGAGCAAACCCCAAAGGTTTCTCCTAGGCCTAGTAGATTGCAATTCAATTCTGAAAAAAGGTTTGGATCCTCTGTGTTATCTGTGGGTGTCCAAGTACAGCCTTTTGCATCTCCCCTCTCGAGCCCCCCTCGAGCCGATTCGTAAATAGCGGCACTGCCTTCGGATCGGGTCGATATGTGGTCAAAAGGGCTCAAGGATGGCGAGGTTGGCTCTCAGTCGAGAAAATCCGTAAGCGAAGTCCGCCCTCTGGCGCCTCGCCTGTGCCCAACCGAGCGAAATGAAAGACGAAATCCCTGCCCGCCTAGTTGCAAAGATTTTCGAGGGGTTTTGCACATCGTGCATGATTGGCAGGAGCCTTTCACTGATGGCGTGTGCACTTTTGCGCAGGTCAAGAACCCGAGCGTTTTGGAAGGCTTTCAAAAGCATCACGGCTACTTCATGGACGACGAGCTCCAGGAACTCGACTCCTCGGCGCGCGCTCAGAAGGGTCTCTCGTTTTACTCCACCAAGCTCTTCGCTGTCATTAACGAGGAGCCGGGCGTTGCGGCACAAAGGTCCGACTTTGATACGGGAGTACCGGTCGTATCTGGAACTGTTTGATGCACACCAGACGGTTGCCAAAGCGGCCAGGGCAGCAGTAGACACTGCACGCGAGCGGGGGTTCGAGAAGGAGATCGACGGCAAGTTCAAATGCTCGTTGGCATACCACGGTGTAGCGTAGCATGAAGAACTTCCATCGAAAGTACTAGGCCTCGCGTGAGGCGTTCGTTTAGCACCAAGTTTTTGATCCCTCCTAAAGTAGGACAACACGCCATGCAAGATGTCATTAATACACACGTTCGAAGGTCCGACCAAATTCAAGCCTTCTATAACGAGTGCCTCGAGAAATCGATGGGTCGGATTAAACGAGCCTACGAAGAGGAGCAATCCACAAGCATGATTCTTAAGTTAGGTGAGATTGCTGGTTTGAAAGGAATCCTCCCCCCGCACTCCATGCACGATTTAATCAAAGTGGTGCGCATTGGCCTGGAGAGAGCTGGAGTTAGAGCTCACAGGTGCCGTGATCCACACCACCTTCTCGTACAGTGGGGCGACGTACTCAAGCAATCCACCCAACCGTCTCGCGGAACGACTCATAGCAAACAGAAGCATGCGACGGCTGACGATGGGGCACACTTTATCTTTGATGGAGATCGGGGCACGGTCCCCATGCTCGAGGTGCTAGCAAACCCTGCCAAATGCAAGCAGGCCTATCTATATAAGCAGAAGGCAATTGATGTTTCGGGTTAGCACCCATGCTCCGTCCCCCGTCCGTAAGTCCGAACCAATTTGACCATCTCTCAGTAGCCCGACTCATGACGAATCGTAGTCGTCTGTGATGGGGGATTCTCGGCGTCGTCGTCGGGAGCCCTTAGGTTTTGGCGGCATGTTAGGTGCTCTAGGAGTCGTCGTCGCTTTCGATTTTTTCCGCTTTTCTTGTGGATTCATAGCCTCGAATGCTTCGATCGAGAGCTTCGTAGCGCTCGTCCGTTATGCTCCTTCAAAGCGCATTCCTTCAGGCCTGTGATTCTCTGGCAATGCATGGAGAGAGACCTTGTATGCGTATTCTTTGTGTTTGCTGGCCCTCGTTGTCTCCATCAACAAAACAAAGGCAGTAAACGGAAGGACTGCTAATCTTGGGGCAGACGCCTTGAGCAACCTGTAGAGAGCACTACCGGCCCTGCAGCCTGCTTGAACGACTCGCCCCCGCTCAGCGTCGATCTCGAGCCGCGACTCAGCTAGCTTGCTGGTGTGGTCCGAGCACTTTTCATCGAGAGCCTTTACGACCTTGAATGATCGTCGATTTCTCTTGTTTCTGAAGGGCAGATCCTCCATATTCAATGGCATGATTATAAACGCACCAGGGGTCAGCGTCAGAGCGCCTCCCCCTAATGCATTTTCCGAGTCTGTCTCCCAATAACCAAAAACATGCCCCGTCAAATGTCCACTTGTCAAGCGGAATGCACTATTAAATGCGAACTGCGTCCCTTGTCTTCTAGAATACTCCAATGTTTATTTACAGTAAATAGAATTGCTGATATTTTACACCAAAAGCGCTTTGATAGATTCATTCATTTATAAGTGTCCGAACGCCTCGAAAAAGATGCCCATACCCCCTTGGAATAAGGCCTCATGAAATCGGACTTCCTCACCCAGAGCGCTTGCTTCGGATTATTCTGAGAATAATATCTTACGGGAGAGTATCGTCCCCATGGCATCAAACCAGTCAGCCCCAGCAAACGATGATGACGTGAAGAGAGTCATATGCGGCGAGAGTTTCTGTCATAACCTGCTAAATGACGGCATCGCAAGGGCCTCAACGACTTGTACGCAGTACATGGCGAGCCTGGTTTTCATGTATAAGCTGCTGAACAGGGGAACGGTTATGCCGCCCAACATCGAGTGGATCCGCGATGACATTGACCGCCTCATCCCCTTGCTGGAGAAAAAATACACTAACAAGGGGACACTATGCAATAAATACACCCCGTTGATGACCCTGGCAAAACAACAGGGATGGATGGAGTCGTACAACCGATACTATCGTAGTTTCTTGATCGCAAAAACTGCGCAAATCTCTCAGGCAGG